GGAGAACACGAATGCAGCAAGCGTTCGGAACAGGTCAACTGCCTAGTACAGTGGCATGTCAAGGAACAATTTAATGGTGTTCAGGTCACGAGAAAAAACAACTCACTTTGTTGATCCATTGTAGCTCTCGTAAGCCATTGTATAAAGGCCGATCATTCCGTTACCAATTTTACCGGTGTATTTCAGCTAAAAATAGGTCTCGAAAGTTTTTTTCTAGTCACATGAGCAACATCCTCATTTTCGAGGAAACATGGTGTTATCCATAGTGCACTATTTGCGTGTCTCCTCTTTCCGATTTTCTGTACTGGAATTTTTTCTACTGAATCCCAATTTTTTTTACACCAAGTCCCACACTCAAACAAGAATTATCTGTTTTACAAAAACACTTATGTTCTGATTTCACTTCTGTTGCGGATAGAACGAATTTCAGGTATGCGCAAATGGGAGGTCTAGTCGACAAATGTTAGCTAATCTGGCAACTAACTTTTCTACTTTTCTACTAGGGAAAAATGATCAATGATATATGCTGCACTGAAGGTTTCTCTGCACACTTCGCTTTTAGGTCGCCCCAAAAAACCGTGTCGTGCATTTTTTTAGTGCAGCTTTTCTAGTAGTTGAAAGCGAAGCCATTCCGTTAACGCGGCACTATCCCCCAGTTCACGGATACATAGTATCATAAGACCGTAGCCCATTCGAAGACCTTTTTTCCGCTGTAATCAGCATAACGCTTCACTTCTATAATATTTCTGTAATGGATTAGATCGAATTCTAAATCTATGCAACCCGAGAAATAATGTAAGAATTTAATGTGGCTTATCTCTATTCAACACTCAAACGAGGGAAAGTCAAGTTTAAAATGAAGACACTACATGTCACTGCAAGTGATGACTGTGACCCCCAATATGCGCTCCCTTATTAGATTAGTCCTACATCATTGTCCTTACTTTTATTTTGAGACGTCGTTGTGCAGGAATTTTTTCGGCCAAACGAAAGACCCCAGTTTCGTTCTTCTTGTAGATTTTGGTGCTTTTAATAGGTACAATAACTCCGTCCTAAAAATGCTAGAAAATTCGAAAGGGAGAAAAGAAAGTTCCTGCCATGATCAGGTTATTTCAGTGAGGTGCTTACCAGTTGACACTTCACTTTTATCATTGATGAGAGAGATTTCTTTCATATGCAAAGTAAATTGTTTCGTGGGTTCACGTATATCTGCGAGTATCTCCACATCTCCATCAAAAGTTAGATTCTTCTCTTGTGGAAAATCATCATATGACGGCAGATATGGTTTTATTTTCAGATCATAGCTCACTGAAATTACCACATAAAAATGCTACGATTTATACGATTCAACCCCTTTACTCCCACATCAAAATGGTGGTCGTGATCAGAGTGATTCCTACGGTTTTGATTTTCTGGGCCACCTCGACCTACCATCCGGTCTTCATTAGTGTCTGAAGATGAGTATACCGTTATGGGGGTCATAACAAATGCCTGACGAATCTGTTGACCCCCTTTACTATAGTATGGCAAAAATTACGCTAATAGGAGGTTTCCGCTGTCAATTTCTAATTTTAAGCCCAGATGTATTTGACGTATATCCTTCGTATTTATTTTTAAATTCAGTTGTTCATCCTTGATTCCGTCACATGAAATATATCAATTCCTGACTGGACAATCCTTTAACTCCTGGAGTAAAGATCACTACTTTGCCCCGCAAAGTTTGATTGTGTTACATTGCAAGACGATTTAGTGGCTCTATGAACTTCCGTAGATCACTTTTACGACGTTTAATAAGCTATTTACCAGCATCGATAAGCCTGGACCCGGGAAGATTGCTTGCGCGAGCAATATCTCTAATACGCTCGTAGAAGCGCTAGAAGCCAGCCGCCCAACCTGTCGCTTGGTCGCTGAAACTGCTGCCGGGCGGACTTTCTTGCAACGTATTTCTTGTAAATATCGTAAGAAAATTACAAGCATAAAAATGCCTATCTTCAAGACGATGCATGAAAACTGAAGAGAAAGCAAAGACCCGAAAGAGATTGTCTCGACTCCGTAATGAGCTTTGTCGCTCATTTCCTTGGTGAGAAGGTATTCTGCGTAAGAGACCAGCCTTGATTAAGAAGGGCAGCCAGATGAAGGCTAGTGAAGAGCCAATCAGCCGTTTAGTGACCGCTTTCGCAGAATCATAAGAGCTGCATCACGATTCGAAGACACCTCAGATTCCGCTGTTCAAAATATAAAACTGGGTAGTAAAAATCGTTTCGAACCCTTCTGTGATGATGCTTCAGAGCGAAAGGACCCATAAGGGAACACAGGGCATCAGAGCAAGATTGGGCGTCCACCACAATGCACAGATTGTCCAAAAATCGACGCCAACAGAATATCGTGGAATTCATCATATTAGAGAAGTGGCAACATAGCTCTCCCAACTCAAGTCTTATGGAATGCTCTGTATTGAGTGTGCCGAAGGCAAAGCATTGCTGGAAGCATAATAGGAACATCGACTATTAGCTGTCACTCTCGAAAGCCCTGGATCTATTTGACAACATCTACCCCCATAACGGAGTCGATGCCTTTCTAGGAAGTCCTCGTTTATTTATACCATTTCCACTCCAAAGTGGACACTATTCAAATAACTCAGGACATTTTTCATTTCGACCCGGCTTTTTTTCAATGACCTGTGGACATTTTTCATTTCGACCCGGCTTTTTTTCACTGGACCGTGGACATTTTTCATTTCGACCCGGCTTTTTTTCAATTGTTTAGGACACTTTTCAAAGCATCGTGAGGATTTTCCAAGCCAAACTGGACACGTCTTCGAAAAAGTCGAAGTATATTTTTTGATAATATTCAATTAAAAGTTGGCGGATGTGCTAGTATGAGTACTTCAAAATACTGAGAAAAGTTCAAAATCCATGTAATGAAAGGCCAATTAGTTTTGTATAGAGCGTGTTATCAGGCCTTTTTATCCAGCAAATCTTCTCAAGGAGATCATCTTCCCGACTCTTTCACTACCTTTGCTATACGACTTCTTGTACTTTCCGCCATGTTTTCTGTCTCAAATCGCTACGCATATACTGGCAAACGAAAACGCCAAACGTGGCCAGGAGGTAGGCGTGCGAAGTCAATGGACACAGACCAGCTCTCTTGGTGAGAGAAGGCTGAAAAGAGCAGAAACTCGATTGACTGGAATAAGCGGTCCTTTTAAAATATGATTTTCTTCTATCGCTTCCGCTCCGTGTCTGTGACACGAAGGAGAGAAAGAAAGAAGAAGAAGAAAGTGTAGAAAGTGCAAGGCGTAAAAGTATAGAGGACGAAGTAGAATTCTGTCAAGTACGTCATCATTGTGATGGAAAATTTACCTGCCTTGGCAACTAGACAACCCCATTTAAACGGGTTGATTTGTGTTCTTTGTGTTTGAACTGTTGGAAAACTCGCATAAGTTCTACTCGAAAATAATATATATACTATTTTGTTGGCTGAGAGAAATATTCTGTTTCTCGAGAACTATTTTCTGATGATTGAGAAGGATTTACGTTCGCGAATGAAGGAGACCATGCTTTATCTGTGGGGTGTCCAGCTTGATATGAAAAGGATCCATTTTGAATTGAACAATGTCCACGGTGATTTGAAAAAAATCCGAGTCGAATTGAAAATCGTCCTGAGCTATTTGAAAAATCTCCGGGTCGAATTGAAAAATGTCCACGATTTTTTGAAAACAGCAACTTTGATTTGAACGATGTCCATTTTCAAGTGGAAATGGTATATTAACGCAGAAAGCGGCCATTCCAATGAACAATAAAAATTATGCTGTTGATAACTGTCCTCACAGTGGTGGCGCTTGTTATGTTGCGAATTTTCAGTCCCATTTGCTTCTTTATGTCCAATTTATTTTCTTACCGTAGATTTCGCCCACCCTGTACAGTTACAGTAAAGGCGCACGTCAGAGTGTATAGTACTTTCACATGCCGAAGGACGCTGTTTTCATCGTCCGCTATTTAGTGTTTACACGAGGTGGAAGGGTAAATTGAGGACCTTTGCTTAATGGAAGCCACCGAGAATTGTCTTCATATTTTGACTTGTTTTGTTTGTTAACTGCTGTTTTGACGCCGCAGTTCGCGTTGCGAATGTTTCACAAGAATGCTGGGTTGTGAACAAAACTTTCGCCCCAGGCGGGACTAGAACCCGCACCTCTTCATATCATCATTCGTACAGCTGCTGTTTCCAGTACAACTACTGGAGATGGTATTCATTATGCTTGCGCCATAAGTTGTGACAGTTTTTCCAAACCCTTGTAATTCATGAAAGAATATATCTAGGCTATTTTCGCCATCCCGCGACGGTGCTGATCCACACGCTTGTGTCGAGTACCAAAGCCATCCGTGTCGAAGCACGTGCACCACTGCTTACTTTGCCAGTTCCTCTTGAGACAATCAATGCGAGAAGCCTCTCAAAATTGTATCGTTGAAGGACAAGTCGAGTGAAGTAAAAGGGCCAATTGAGATTGGCTAGCGTTTTGGGAGGCATCTGCAACCATGAAGATCAAGCAATTGAACTGCACTTTCTGTAGTTGAATTTTCTGATCGCTTATTTTCAGCCGACGAAGATCTGTACTAGACAAAGATGTGCTCTCAGTTTGCCATATTCGTACTCTTCAGCTTAAAAACTGTCAAGTTTTCTATATAATATTAATATTGCTGTTGAAAGCGGACATTATTAATGACCAAAACAATACAAGAGCAGGTGTGGTTCTTGTCGATTCTAGTAGTCTAACGTCAGTAAATGTAACTCACGCGGCAGCACATCTCTAGGTAGTCTGAAGTAAGAAGAAGTTTTCTGGCGTACACGATGGTGGTCGGGCAGAATTGGTGCGTTCGTGACTCTTGGGTGCTGAGCACTGAAAATAAATATGATGAGAACATTGACTGTTCCACGTACTTCACTTCTGACACGTTGAAGGAATCCCCCTCGGAAAACCATGATTCTATCTAACCAAGAAGCCAATGGCTTGAGACCCATCGTGAATAAATAGAACAAGAAAAAAGAGCGACTGTTTTGGTGAAGAAAAAACCGAAAAATTGGAAGAACTGCTACGCGTTCAAATCCCGCCGGACATCTGTCACAAATGCTGGCGACGGGAATGCTTCCACTTGGTTCTTGGAGTGCCGTCACTAGAAACTCTTTCTGACCTTTTGACTTATTGACATCTCACACTTCTACTGCATCCTATTCTATCGATCGTTTTGTCTCTATTCTCCAAATCGAACGCTTTCATTAGATTCTTTCAATGCGTCGCCTGATGTGACCAAGGCGCACTTCTTTCCATGCCCGCCTTTGGCTCCGCGCGACCTACCTTCGACTGTCCATAGAGTGTGGTTTTCGTAAGTTTGTTTCTCTTCGGAAACCGAATCTTCATGCGTGAAACTTTGTGTGCTATTCTAGTGATCACAACTGACATATTCATGTTAGGAAAGAATGCAAGAATTTTCCGCGAAGATTCCTTTAAAGCCACGAGTCAGGATTAGGCAACCAGCAGAAGTTCTTCCCAGGGTGCGATAGTGGGCTCCCCAAGCACTGAGGGCGCGACATCGCGACCCAAAAGTGCGCGGCAATGGCGCTAAGGCCTTGCCCGCCGCGCTGCCAGCGTAATCCACCACGGCATACGTGGTCTCTGCGTCTCTCACGTATGACGTACTATCTCGCGTTCTCCCTCTCCTCGGAGGTAAGCAAACCAGCCCTTTTGGCGTTTCGGCTGGGACCGTATGCTGAATGTTGGGGAGGGGATGGGGTCCCCAACGGTCGACGGTTTACTTCAACTCGGTTGGTACGATAGGAGAGTACTGACGCAAGTGGTGCAGCTGGTCCAGCAGCTCCGCCAGAAGGGCTGGTTTGCTCACCCCAGGACTAAGCCTTGGAGAGGGGACGGACCCGTCCTCTCTTTAAGGCTTAGTTCTGAGGTAGCACCAAATTGTGGCGGTT